ACCACGGTGGTGAAGTCATGTGACCGTGGTGGTGAAGTCACGTGACCCTGGTGTTGAAGTCATGTGACCATGGTGGTGAAGTCATGTGACCGTGGTGGTGAAGTCATGTGACCCTGGTGTTGAAGTCATGTGACCACGGTGGTGAAGTCATGTGACCATGGTGGTGAAGTCATGTGACCCTGGTGGTGAAGTCATGTGACCGTGGTGGTGAAGTCACGTGACCCTGGTGTTGAAGTCATGTGACCACGGTGGTGAAGTCATGTGACCGTGGTGTTGAAGTCATGTGACCATGGTGGTGAAGTCATGTGACCGTGGTGGTGAAGTCATGTGACCCTGGTGTAGCTGGTTTATAGTCTAACATTAGATGTTTACTTCTGCTGATTGTATTGAGGCTTCAAACATCACAGATGTTCATTAGTGAAGATGATCCTGCTGAATTAAACCTGTCAGGACCAGCAACTCTTTTTATTTTCTCTAATAATCCAGAACACAATGGAGAAATCCCATTGGCTTTTAATGGAGGGAACCAGGGTGACGCTAACTTCAGGGTTGGACTATAAAAATACGACATCCCTGTGGCTCTCTGTTGAGGACCAGGGGCCAGTTACACAAAACACCTTAGTTAAGATGTCCCTTTAAATCTGAGTTAAGATTTCCTTCAAATAAAACAGTTGCACAAAACACCCTTAAGTCTTCTCCTTGAGGTTTCCTTGAAATGTTCACTTAAGTATTTAAGGTTTTCTACTCGTCTTAGTCTTAAACTTAAGGAATCATTTAAAGTCAGCCTCTGACTCTATCTTAACTCCAACATGGCTGGGTCAAAGGTGATAAATGAGGAAAATAAACGCCTCCCAGAGAGACACCATTTGGAAACAATGAGGTCACACCCACGGTCTCTCCTGATTGGCTGTCATCAGCCTGGACTACCAGTGGTGAATACAACATGATAACGAATGACAGTGTTACTGACCTTGTTGTCTTTGCTAGCAGCTGCTGTTCACTGACATTCTCTGTTTTAATGCTACAACTATCTCTGCTGTTCCTCCTTCAGAGGAGACGATCTACTTCCTGTTTACACCGGCTTGCACATGCTCAGTGTGGTGAATGGTCATGTATGTATGCGTTTTCAGATGTGTTAGTCTGGACGGAGATTGATTTAGTTCGAAAACGCCATTTTAAAATGAAAATGTGGTCATGTGGATGGAGCCTACAACACAACCCTAGAGTTTTCAGACTAAATCAGGTCCAGCAGCGTTTCCTAAAGTCTCTGTTCTCAGGGCTCGAAAACTCTGGAGTCGTGTGGACGGAGGAGGAAATGTAGGAAAAGAGATGAGTTTTAACATGAAGAAATAGAAGTGTGGACGCGGCCTGAGAACCAGAGTGATCAGCTGTGTCTGACGCTCTAATCTTTGATTTTATTTTTGATAAATATTGGACAGTTTTACCTCAAACATTATTTGACTGAGACGTTTAGAGAAATGTCTCTCTGACATCTGACACTGGGCCTCAACCGGTGCTGCTGTTCTCAAGGCTGTGTGTTGTATTTTATAAGATTATCATGGTCTTTTTAACAAAATCTCAATCTGGAATATTCACTAGAATCTCCAGCTGTCAGAGCAGATGTATAGGAGCAGACAATGGGATCACTAAATACCTCACCACTTGAGTAAATGTACTTCATTACTCTGCTGATGAGAGGATTTTGGCTCCTGGAAGAACCGAGGTCAGGGGCCACAGACAGGAGGGACCCGGCTGTGAGTCTGTCATTTTGATGCATTAAATCAGGATACAGGTTCACGCTGGTCCCGGGAAACACGTGGGTTGTTGTGGTGAAATAATGGCTCTCGGTGTGCGGTGATGACGGCCGGTCCGGGGCAGCGGAGGCCTCGGCGCAGCCTGAGCCGAGCCGCCTCTGCCGGACTCACTGAGGCCGCTGGGCATCTCCGGCTGCTGCTAGCTGGTGGCTAACAGATCCTATTGTTTTCAATGGGGGATGCTAACACGCCAGTGTAGCAGTCTCCCCGCTTCAGTGCAGAATACATGTGGGAATGTCACGATGAAATTCTGACACAAACTCAGTGTAGAAAAATAAAATAATCCAGATGTGGAGGTTTGTGGCGTCCGGTTACATCACCGGGCTAGCTGCCGTTACCGAGCATCCCGACCAGTTAGCTCGTTATAAATAATATGTCATCTCGTTATTACTGTCAAGGTCGGCACAATAAATTCAGCCATCTTGCTCGCTGAAACAAACCTGCTGACTGAATATTGTGCCTCCCCCGCAGCCTCACAGGCTCCCGGGGCACAGGCCGGTCCGCTCCGCGGGTCTGCGGGGCTAACTGGCAGCTACACCGGCCGCCTGGCTGCATCCAGCAGCAGCAGCAGCAGCAGCTAACGGCAGCTAACAGCAGCTAGCGGACCTGCTAGCAGCGTTAGCCGCGCAGGTTTCACAAACAAACCCCGAACATCAGAGGGGCCGTCCGGGCTCATCGTCCCTCCTCCAGCCCCCTGCTCACACACTGTATCCCCGAAAGAACACGAGCGCCACACGGGCCGAGTCACACCAGAACCAGCACCGGCAGATAATAACAGTGACACCGGTGGGGACAGTAAGGTCTGGCCGGCCTGTGAGCGGCGTGTGCGGGGGGAAACACGGCGGGATGCTGCGGGATGGATGAGCCCGGAGCAGCTAGCTACCACAGACAGGGAGGCAGCGAACAAGCGGTCATTTTTACTCACTGTTCACCGGGCGGCGGGCTTACCTTGCCGGACAGCAGGCTGGAGCGGCTCCGGTGGGTGCAGCGGGCTGGCAGACAGCGGCGGTGCTCGGTGTATTGACCCAGTAACGTTATTATTAAAGAGCAGTACGCGCCGCTCCGCCTGCCGCCGCCGAAACCTCCACAATGAATTAAAGTGTGGATGTAGGCGCGCACCGCGGGCTCCGCAGGGTCCGGGACGAACCGAAGCCTCGGCCGTAATCAACGTCCAGTGTCTCCTAATGATTAAAACATAATAATAACGGATCTGCGCGCACACGCCCGTGAGCGGTGGGCATTCATAAATAACATTTACGGTGCCAGGCAGGAGGAGGAGGGGCGGGGCTACACCTCAGCGCCGCTCCAGCACCTGCCGTTTATTTACACTGGATCTTATTCTGTCACATCTCCAGCCGCGGGAACAGACGCTTATTACAGCGGGAATATCACATTAATACACAGACAACAGCAAGTGTGAGAATTAAGCTCTAAAACCGCAGGGGGTGATGGGAGATGTAGTTTATAGTCCGGCCACAGCAGCTTGTTTACAGCAGCAGCGCCAGTTCATCTCTGCTGGTTTCTGTTATTTCATGTGCAGACGGTTAGATGGCGTGTGTGTGTGTGTGTGTGTGTGTGTGTGTGTGTGTGTGTGTGTGTGTGTGTGTGAGAGTGATCAGTGCAGTTTAAAGGACAAACACACAGAAACACATCAGCTCACTGTGACGCGGTCAGACTGCAGTAGCAGCACCGTGTGGACGGAGGAGACACCATCCTCTCCACGCACACACACGCACGCACGCACACACACACTCTCTCTTTTGGAGACAGCCTTGAACTTGCTTATTTCTTCTGCTTTAAGAAGAGAAGTTGATGTAAATGTTAATCTTTTTTTTTGTTTATTGGTGCAAAAACAGAGTGACAGAAAACTGTGTGTGTGTGTGTGTGTGTGTGTGTGTGAGAGAGAGAGAGAGTGAGAGATATATTGTAATGAAAGTTGATCTTATACAATAATAATGATATATAGCCTAATAATACAGTGATAGCAATGTACATGTTTACATATATAGACAGCATTATAATATGAATGTAATACTATAATAATGATCTGGATGTTATTATGTTAATTAACCTGAATGAAGAGATAAGAACAATCTGATTGAAATCTCATAATTTGGATTCTGGCGTCACATTTCACCAGAATATTAAATGAACATTTTTAGGAAACCTTAAGGAGAAAACTTAAAGTGTTGTGTGCAACTGCTTTTAGTTTAAACAACAGTTAAAACAGTTGCACAAAACACCTTAACTCAGACTTTAAAGGAAATCTTAACTGTGTTTTAAGGCCTCCAGAGACAAAAGCAGCTGCATCTTTGTGGTCGAGTTGTAGTTGTTTAACGTTTTATTGTTGGTACGTTCGTCAGTGTCTTCACACAAAGGTTCAGCTCCAGAGGCACCAGGTCTGAACCAATCAGCTCACTACATCATATGTTCAGAGTGCAGAAGAAGACCAGAGCTCAGTGTGAATTTAACACTTTATTTACATCTTTATTAATCACATCTTTCAGCTTTGCTCTCCATATTCAAGCAGCACAAAACAACAACTCGAGAAACACAAAAAGTAAAAGAAAACTCACAACAACACAAAGTGACAAACTGTTTCCCTCAAATAATCAAGTTTGTGTTTTTTAGAAAAAACATGGCGGTACAGAGAAGGAGGAGGAGGAGGAGGAGCCAGAGAGCGAGGGTGAAGGTGAAGGTGGATCGAAGACGACAACGTGACAGAAGTGACTTTCCTTCAGTGCAGGACTCAAACTAAAACCTGGTCCAGGTGACAGGTGATCCTGACGCAGGTGAACAGAAATATAAAGTGCTAACTATAGGACCGTGCTCAGCTGGCTGAACAGAGGACACGTTCAGGAGCAGCTGGGAAATCTCAACACTTCCTGGGCTTCCTCCTCTAAGAACAGATCATGGAGCGCTGGGACGAAACTGGAATCAAGGACCAGTCACACCCCTGCTGTCGTTAGAGTAAATCTGCAGTGATCTTAAAAAGACAAACACTCGAAACCACACACACACACACACACGCACGCACGCACACACGCAAGTCACTCTGACACACTAAGGGTCGTCGGAGCTCACAGTCCAGCGACGGCGTCACATCGAGTTCACATGATGCCGATGGGGACAGATCAGGGAACCCTGCTGGTTTCAGAGCAGTGGAGGTCCGGAGACCAGAGACCATCAGTACGGATTCCACAAGAGCTGGTCGGAGAACACGGGGACCTGCTGGTCATCAGAGCCCAGATCTATGAGAAAACAAACCGTCAGAGACGAAACATACACGTGGAGACGTCAGCAACACGAGGCAGGAGAGTCAGACTCAGGGTCAGTTTCAGCTCCTGTCAGACCTGACGCCACGTTTCAAGTCTGAACTAGCATCAGCTCCTCCTCCTGTTTATCCAGAGTCATTAAAAAATGAATCATGTGGGTCAATCTTTGTCATAATTACTGCGAAGTCTCGAGTAAAAAGTGTTTTGTGATGTCATACTGACCTTGACCTTTGACCACCAAAACCTAATCAGTTCATCCTTGAGTCCAGGTGAATGTTTTTGCCAAATTTGAAGAAGTTCCTTCAAAGTGTTCCTGAGGTTTCGTGTCCACGAATAAATAGATTTAAACATTTATTCATTCATGAAGAAATAATAGAATTTGAAAAGACGTTTTAAAATGGGAATAAATAACTGGATTCAGCTTCCTTCTCCTATTAGCTAATCGATTAGCTTCTCCTGTTAGCCTCTCTGAGACACTCTGGACCTTCAGACACCAGGATAAACAATCCCAGGGATGTAACAAGCTCTGTGATTGGTTGGAGAGCTGACCATATCTGGTTTTACCACTGAAGGTCCAGAGTCTCAGAGAGGCTAACAGGAGAAGCTAATCGATTAGCTAATAGGAAAAGGAGAAGGAAGCTGAATCCAGTTATTTATTCCCATTTTAAAACGTCTTTTCAAATTCTATTATTTCTTCATGAATGAATAAATGTATTGACGTTCTTGTAACAAGTGTTATGCTGTTTTTGTAAATCCTTTTAGAAATCTAAAGTATTTATTGATTATCGTTCATTTCATATTTTAATAGATGTTAAAACAGGAATTATATAAAGACTTAATAAATGAAGGAGATTCTTTATTTCCTCACTAACTGACTCAAACTGTTAAACACGTTGATGCTGTTTCCACTGAGCAGCTCGGGGAGTGGGAACATCTGAGCAGCACGTGAACGTAGCGTGACCTCACCGTGACCTTACCTTGGGTGTGGTCGGCCTCCAGCAGGAGGCGGAGCCAGTCCGTCATGTTGTCGTCGGGGGTCAGCTGACTCCTGAGGGAGTAGCTCAGGCCGGGAGGAGAGCGGAGAGGACGACGGCTCGACTCACAGTCCTAGATGGAGGAGAGATTTACAATGACTTGATCAATCGATAGAAAACTAATTGATAACTGATTAATCATTTCTGTGCAACAGCACATGTTTCTGTGTAGTTGGGTCAGTCGGGGCTCAACATCACTTTGACCACCATCATCACCCACAGTAACAGTCAGACGACCTCTGATCATTAAATATTGATCACTGATCAGCTGGTTACCGGGGAGAAGGGGACAGTCCAGGGTCCAGGCAGCTCCAGAGACAGAGGAGAAACAGAGGAGGCATCAGAGGCTGCTGGAGTCTCCTTCTCTCTCTGCTTGTCTCCTCTGTCCTCACACAGGTCAGAGGTCATCTTCTCCAGCTGGCTCTGCCTGCAAACACCACAGAAGAAGATCACATCACCACCAGGAGTCTGCTCTCACCTGGACTCAGAGACGAGTCTGAGGAAGTCTGAGACCTCAGTTTTATTCTGCTTGTTTGCAGCTGATAAATCAATAGATCAATAAATCAATAAATCAGGAAAATATTCTGTGAAATGTGAAGAAACAAACTCTGCAGCTTTGGGGCCAGTTGCACAAAACTCCTTAAGTTAAGTGAACATCTTTAAGGGTTTCTCCTCATCTTAGTCTTAAACCTCAGGAATCACCTGGTGAGGTTCCCGTAGATCACAGGTGTCACAAGAGCCAATGGCAGCAAATTAACAGTATCCATGGAAACAGAATTTGACTGCTGTAAATACCTTCACTAAGGAAACCTTTGAAGAGATTCTTCAGAGACTCCCTCGGCTGAGGACAAATTAAACCTAAGTGTCAGACTTAAGTAGAAAAGTGGAGGCGTGTTGTGCGTCCAGCCCCTGGTCTCCACCTACAGCTGCTCCACCGGGTCCCGAGTGTCGGCGTCCGGCTGGTTGTTGGTCGGAGGGTCCCACAGGTGCAGCGCCCGCCTCCACAGACGCACCTGCATGTCCCAGGAGCGCCGGCTGTACTTCCTGTACTTGTTGGGGGTGGACGGGTGGAGCTTAGGGTCCCTCAGGTGTCTGAGGGGAAAGGGGGGGGGGGTCAAAGGTTGAACAGCAGAGACTGTGTGTGTGTGTGTGTGTGTGTGTGTGTGTGTGTTTTCACCTGGGCACCTGCTGCAGGTAGTTCTGGTAGCCACTGGTGTTCTTCCCGTACTGAATCTGTTTCTGCCGTCGCTTCAGAACCGCGGCGTTGGTCTCCGTGTTGGCGGGATCAGGGAGGCGGGGGTAGCAGCGACCGAGGGGGGACCTGCAAAGACCAGGAAGTGATTATCTCTAGCTCCTATTCTGAGTGACTTCCTGTCAGCTGATCTGTCACATGTACTGACCTCTTGTTGTCCAGATCGTCCGTCCCCACAGCCACACTGCTGGTGGACACTTTGAGGATACAGCGCTCCAGGATGGACGGCCTGAGGGGACAGACAGACAGTCAGACTCCAGAGACCGGACTGCAGAGTCCAGAGTCCAGAGACCAGAGACCAGAGTCCAGACTGCAGAGACCAGACTCCAGAGACCAGACTGCAGAGTCCAGAGTCCAGAGACCTGAGACCAGACTGCAGAGTCCAGAGTCCAGAGACCTGAGACCAGACTCCAGAGTCCAGAGTCCAGACTGCAGAGACCAGACTCCAGAGACCGGACTGCAGAGTCCAGAGTCCAGAGACCTGAGACCAGAGTCCAGACTGCAGAGACCAGACTCCAGAGACCAGACTGCAGAGTCCAGAGTCCAGAGACCTGAGACCAGACTCCAGAGTCCAGAGTCCAGACTGCAGAGACCAGACTCCAGAGACCGGACTGCAGAGTCCAGAGTCCAGAGACCTGAGACCAGAGTCCAGACTGCAGAGACCAGACTCCAGAGACCAGACTGCAGAGTCCAGAGTCCAGAGACCTGAGACCAGACTCCAGAGTCCAGACTCCAGAGACCAGACTCCAGAGACCTGAGACCGGACTGCAGAGTCCAGACTCCAGAGTCCAGACTCCAGAGACCAGACTCCAGAGTCCAGAGTCAGTGGTTCAGGACTCTAATGAAGTGAAGAACCTGCGAGGTTTGTTGCTGGCCGCTCGGTCTCGTCCTCGCATGCCGCTCGCAGGAGGAGGAGACGGGATCGGAGAGACGTTACTGTGGACACGAGGAAGACCAAGAGTCAACAGAAAGCCAAGAGTCCATTTATCAGAACAACCACACTTCAGTGGGGGAGTGGATGAGGGGCAGGGGGACAGCTGACTAAATGTTGAACAGAGACTGTAGCAGTGGAGGAGCAGCAACGTCACAGCACAAGTAATAAAACATCTTTCGTTTAATAGACATTAAAAACAGGAAATGAATTTATAAATGATCGATCAATAAATACAAATTCCTAATTTTAATGTCTATTAAAACATGAAACGAAGGAAATGCTTTATGATTTTTCCTGTGACGTCACTGCTCCTCCATCGCGCTGCAGCTGTTTCACCTGAAACCAGCGACTGTCAGCAGGTGTACAGGTGTACGACCAGGTGTGTTCCTCACCTGACCAGGCTGTCGTAGACGGAGCTGCAACCGGGGAGGAGCCACGGCTCGGGGGTGCAGCACCCGGAGGACCCGGCGGCCAGCAGCGGGTCGGGGAGGCCGTTCCACACGGTGGCCGACCAGCCCTTCACGCAGACATGTGACCAGGGACTGAAACAGAAGCTGAGGACACAACACCTTCATCATCATCATCATCATCATCATCATCATCATCATCATCACAGCTCCACACCTGAACACCCCCAGTCTGACAAGGGTTCATTTAATGTTCACACTGAGGAGAAACTAATAAAGTTTACTCAAACAGACTGAGTACAAAGGGGCGGGGCCAAGTGCCTTCACATGAAGAAAGAAACATTTCCTGACACAACATCCAGAACAGGTGAGACACAAGAGAAACTCAGTGTACATGTCCCTCGTCCTCTTCCGTAGCTCCCTGCTGTTTTCAGTCTTCAGAATAAAACAGGGGAGGGGCCCTCACCCACTGTGCACCTACACTGTGGGACACCACCAGAAATATGGGGGGGGGGCGGGGGGGCAGTAAAGTAGGCTACTTTAAAACACAGACTGCACTGAGTTTTAACTGAACTCAGACATGAAATACATATTTATAGATTCAGTGTGATGTCCACTTCCTGATGATGTCATTATTTCTGATGTCCTTCCAGAATAAAGCTCCACAAACCCGCTCAGAAATCAGAGAAAAAGACGCTCCTCCACCTGCAGAACTTCATAGGGAATCGTCCTGTTTTTAAGTTTCCTTCAGTGTCGCAGTGAAACCGGGACAGTTGTCTGAACATCCATGATGCACTGAGACAGGAAGTGACCACAGCTGATTTGGCCAACTCCATTTTCCAAACTATGAATAAATTCAGGTAAAAACGGGCTCAACAAGGTGAACTTTCCCTCCGGTTACCTCTGCGGCTGGGCGGGTTCTCGGCTCCGATTGGCGGATTTTTGTCACTTAATCTGGCAACAACTTTAAAAGATTAAAGATGAGCATATATTCCCGGGTCACCGGTTGAATGAACCGTGTTTTCCCGCCCCGTGTGATGCTGCTGCTGCTACAGACCTGGAGGAGAGCAGCGGGCTCTGAGCGGCCGTTTCCACTCCACTCGTTGACATTTTTGCAGTTTAAGTTTGGCGCCTTCACTTCAGACAGACAGACGCCATTGTTCCGCTTTAGCAGCTTTTTAATGAGCCGCACCTGAGGGGGGCGGGGCCTGCCCGACTCACCTGTGCCGCATGATCTGGAGAAAGAAAACGTGCAGATTACATGAAGGCCTGGAGGAGTAATACATGTACTCAAGTAATGTAACTGTTTGAAGTACTTTTACTTTACTCCAGTACTTCCTTTTTTAAATTGGTAATTCTACTACAATCAATAATAGAAAATATAATCAATACCCCACTTCACAAATACACAAATAAATATGTTACTGTAGGTTAAAGTACTTTATTGATAGATAATTCAAGTTTACTCCACATTTACAACCTGCAACATTAAAGTGACAAACACATTAATGCATCAATGATTATAATAATAATATGATTCTGAAAAGAGTCATTCTGCAGAGCGAGTACTTTTACTTCAGTACTTTTCTGTAGGTTATTTTGATGCTGATACTTCAGTACTTTTACTTAAATAACATTTTGAAAGCAGGACTTGGTATTTCTTTGCTGTGGTGTTACACTGAAGTAAAAGCTCCACTTGATTTAACTCAGACTCCTAAAGCCTCATTTTATGTTGTAAATCCTACAGGGATCTTTGTGGCCATGAGGACGATCACAGCTAGAAAAGAACCTCTGTAGATTTTATAAAAAGAAAAGAAAACGTCTGACTTTCACAGACAAACTTATATGAATATGTTGTACAACAAATCATTGTGTTATCACTTAAGGTTTGACAGCGTAGTTTTGTTTGTAATTCAGCTATTGAACAAAAATGTTAATTAATCGATGGACAGAGAATTAATCAGAAACTATTTTGGTCGTGTTTTCATCAGGAATTCTCATAGCTGCGAGTTTGATGCTTTTTTGGTGTTAAACATGAGAAAATAAAACAAGAAATCTGAATATGTCTACAGTAGTAGTTATTTCCAGTAACTAGAAAATAACAGTCAGATTAATTGATAATGAATCAAATTAACTATATTTCTGATGCTGTTCTCACTGGTTCTCTTTTTAAATTTAAAACTTTAAATAATTTTTTTCAGTGAAAAGAAAATGCAAAAATGAACTTTACAACTGAAATATGGACTCATATCTCAATCTCAATATCTGCCAAAATAATCACAATATTTTGCATGTTGTTCAGCCCTAATAAGGTTAAAGCCGTATCCTCAAAGTTTCTGTTAGTTGCACAGCGCACGGTTAAACGTGCAGAGACATTAGTTTTACAGAGTGTAAAACCACCACAGTACTGGTACAGCCTAGATCCTGCAGGTACAGGCCCAAGCTCAGTTACATCTCCTCTAACAGAACAAGGAAAATCATGTGCTCCTCCAACAGCAGACTTTATAAAACCAGCTGAATTACAGTGCACCATGTATTATATGTCAGATTTACACTGAGTTTGAAAAATTTTAAATAATATTGACATTTCTTTTGTGATTTCATAATTCTGAGAAATATTTTTTTAAATCTTTTTTCACTGTTTATTCTCCTTGGTGATTTTATGGTTTTATTATTATGCAAACTGACTGAAGGTACCAGATAAAAGCAGTACAGTAAAAAACACTATTTCCTCTGAAGTGTTGTGAGTAGAAACATGAAGCTGCAGAGATAAATAGACCTGTTGTTCTAACAGATGTGATGCAGTCATGTCAACATAAGCTTCAACATCTGGTGGATCCATGACATGAAGAACTGACGCTGTTTGAGAGCAGAGGAGGAACGAACATGGTGTTCATAATAAAGAGCTCACTGAGTTCCGGGTCTCCGCTCCTGCAGGCGGCGCTCTTCACCGTTTAATCCCGCTACTCTTCTCTGTCACTAAGGGAACAAGATGGCGTCTGGTAGTGGGGTGAGTCCCTCAGCTCGGGTTGTTTTTTGTGTAAAAAATATATAAAAAGTTGACTATAACGAGGCTTAGATTTAAAATGTGTGTGTGTGGTTTTCAGAGCGGCTAAAGGCGCAGACCAGATCCGTTCAAAGTCTTTAAAAACCGTTTCAACCGCTCCGTCCCGGTGCGTCAGCTAGCAGCTAACGAGAGCTAGCCGGCTAACAGACAACACGGTAAAAGTTTTCGGTTTTATTTTAAACATGGCGGCGCTTTCTAACGTCGTTTCGGCGATTTACCCAAAGATTAATCCGCGTGTTGGTTCGTTTGTGTCCGCTGCTAACTGTTAGCATGAAATCCGCTAGCAGCAACAACAATAAATCTTCCGGGCTCCTTCAGAGTAAAAGTGCGAGAAGACATGAACAATAACATTTATGATAAATGTAAACATTTTGGATTCAATTCATGATAAATCCTCCTAAAACATAAAGCAGTGCAAGAACATACAACATGTAGTATAACACAAAGTAGTTCCAGTAGATATAAAATATAAAGCTGGACATAATACTGCTGTTACATTATCAAGAAATATATAGTATGTATGTTTTTGCTGTGACCCCCTTTGCCTTTAAAGCAGCTCCAGTTCTCCTCGTACACCTGCTTCAGTTATTCAGGTGGTTCCAGCGTCTGGGAGAACCTGCCTTGGTTCTTCTGTCCCTTCATGTGATCCAGACCGATGATGCAGGATCAGGTCACTGTGGGGGGTCGGACCACCTGTTGCAGGACTCCTGGTTGTTCTGCTCTCTGGAGATGGTTCTTTATGACTCAGTGTTTGGACTTGTTTCAATCTGGACCAATTGGACAAGGCTCTTATCTGACGGTCTTCTTTAAAGACCACGTCTGTCAAGGGTCTACCAGGGTCCCGCTGGTTTCTTTCAGAGATGATTGACATTTTGAAGTGAAGTCGGCTTGATGTGGTTTTTGCCCATCTGTGTCTCCGGTCTTGAACCTCCTGTTTCTCTGTGCTTCTACAAAAGAGCTTGGGCAGCACATCTGGACTGATGCAGGATGAACACCTGGTGTCTTGTTGCCATGGTGTCAGATGAAACCTTGTCAGCCCCCGGCCCTCGCATAGTTTTATTCCACCACAGCTGTTTCTGTCTCACATCGTGATTTTAGTTCAATAAGATGTTGTTGATGAACCTGTTTGGTGTAATTATTTCACCCTTTGAGGTCGACAGATATTTCTATAAATATCTTTGCAATGACACAGCACAGAAACGTGGTTTAAATGTTATTAACGTTTCATGTTCTTGTCAAATTGTACGTGACTCAAAGCCGGAGCTGGAAGGCCTTTAAAATTTGCACAAAGCAGAGTGTCAGACAACACTTCGACAGAATATTACAAAATCTCATTTTAGGCATTTATTATACATTTATCTACCATTTCACTCATATGTTGCTCTATTTTTTGTGAACCTAAGACTTTGGTGAACACATTTCAACTCATCCACATCAGTAAAAGTTTGTTTTCACAAGAGATTTGGAGAATTTCAAAAACTGGGCTTCAGTTTTTCAGCTTTTAGGCCAAATGATCTTTTTGCACAGTGCCGGTCAAAAAGCGGCGTCATTACAGAAAGAGCTGAGATACTTCTGAAAATGATTACATAAACACTTTGGCACAATGTGATAGGCAAACTTTTATAAAGTGAGTTTAAGAAATAAACCTCAGAGGGTTAATCACACATTGAGCTGAACGACAGAGAAATGATTTTGTGAAGCATCTAAACTGAGCACAGTTCTGTGTGTGTACATGTATCTTCATGTATAACTTCTTCTTCTCTGACTCTTACTTCCTGTGTCTCCCCCCTCAGTCCAGTAAGAACGACTTCCGTCGGAAGTGGGACAAAGACGAGTATGAGAACCTGGCTCAGAAACGACTGGTGGAGGAGCGAGACCGAGAGAGGAGAGATGGTGAGGACGTCGACTCGTCCAGAGAGACGAGCTGGTTTGTTTCTCACAGCTGAGAATTAAAGAAGATGATTGAGTTTAATGTTGAGATGCAGAGAAACGTGTTGAGTTTTGTTTGTATACGTCTCTCTCTGATTCTCCACAGAGCTGTGATCACTTCTTCATTTTAAAGTAGATTTATCTGTTTTCAGTTGTTCTGTCAAAACACAAGTAGAACACTAAATGTCTGAATTGTCCCGTCATAGAAACTGGTGATGGACTCCAGTAACCCCTCTCTGTCTCTTTAAGGGAAAACGGCTCCGCCGGTCAAGCGGGAACTCCTGCGTCACAGAGACTACAAGGTGGATCTGGAGTCCAAACTGGGGAAGACCATCGTCATCACCAAGACCACTCCTCAGGCTGAGATGGGGGGGTACGGAGGCTCATACTTTAGTCCACAGACATCAGCTGTGATCAGTATATTACACCAGGAGTCTGTGGAGGTGAACCTGCTTCACACCTTCAGCTCAGCGTCTGTCTGTCTGACCACAGCTCTGTTGTTCTGCTGCACTTCACTCATAACAACAGCAGCTACAGTCACAGATGAAAGATAAAAGATCTTCTCGTTTCAGAGGCGGAGTTCTGACGTCACATGATAGAAAAGAAGAAGCCATTATTGATTATATTTTTTCTGTAGATCAGCTAATTGACTAATTAAGAGAGCAGCTGGAGTTCACCTTCTGTCTCACACTTTATCTGTGAAGCTTTCATCACATCTGCAGGTTTCCACTGCTGCCGCGCTCTGATTGGCTGTCTTCTTCTCTTTCAGTTATTACTGTAATGTCTGTGACTGCGTCGTGAAAGACTCCATCAACTTTCTGGATCACATCAACGGCAAGAAACGTGAGTCCACATCAGTTCTGTTCAGGTGCTGCAGTTGCAGCTTCCTGTCAGTTCCTCTGTGAGAGACTATAGCTGAGTCACATGCTCTGATTGTCTTCATCAGTAAGGTTTTTAAACATATAAACAAACAGGAAGTCAGGTGAGTTCTACAGGAAGTCATTAACAACATACAGAACAGGTGAAAAACAGTTTCTGATTCATACAGAAGCAAAAATAATGAAATAATGACAATGAAATACAACACAACACAATCACTGTTTATATGGTGAAATGAATCAATGACTGAACACACCTGAAAACAATGTCACATGACTATTCACCATACTGAGCATGTGTGTAAACAGGAAGTAGATTGTCTCCAGCAGAGACAGTTGTAGCATTAAAACAGAGAATGTCAGTGAACAACAGCTGCTAGCAAAGACAACAAGGTCAGTAACTCTGTCATTCATCATCATGTTGTATTCACCACTGGTAGTCCAGGCTGATGACAGCCAATCAGGAGAGACTGTGGGTGTGACCTCATCGATTACAAGTCTCAGTTCCTGTCCAGACTACAACACAACCCCAGAGTTTTCAAAATGAAACTGGTCCAGCAGAGCTTCTGAAACTGGAGTTGTGTGGACGGAGGATGAGTTTTAAAATGAAAATGTGTGTGTGCAGACCAGAGGAACCTGGGCATGTCGATGCGGGTGGAGCGGTCGTCTCTGGATCAGGTAAAGAAGCGTTTCGAGGTGAACAAGAAGAAGCTGGAGGAGAAGCAGAAGGAGTACGACTTTGAGGAGCGCATGAAGGAGCTGCGGGAGGAGGTGAGGAGGGCGGGACAGGAAGTGTCACTGCCGCTCTTAGAAAAGTCGCTGAAACAAAGAGGGTGGTGTTTGTGATGCTGTGTTTGGGTGACAGTGTCATGTCTGACCTGTGTGTTTCTGTTGGAGCAGCTCAGAGTTCATGTTTCACGTTGTTTTATTCGCTCTATTATCAGTTCATCTTGTGTCCGCTCCGTCTATCCTCTGTCAGACATCACACGTCAGGCATGACTTTTATAAACTCTAATTCCTTTAAAGTTCCTTCAGACATGTTTTAAACTCTGATCGGAGTCTGTGTCAGAACCATCAGAGGATTCTGGATCAAGACCTGAATCCCTAAAGAAATCTGCAGACGTGTTTTTATTCAGCTGTGAAGGAAACAAAATGCGTCAGCTGATTATTGTTGTTGTCGTCAGGAGGAGAAGGCGAAGGCCTACAAGAAGGAGAAGCAGAAGGAGAGGAAGCGTCGGGCGGAGGAGGACGTGGACTTCGAGGAGGACGATGAGATGGCGGCAGTGATGGGTTTCTCAGGCTTCGGCTCGTCCAAGAAGAGTCACTGACGCTCTGCAGCTGGACTGGGTGTTGAGGACCTCCTCCCTCGCACCACGACAGGAAGCTGGTGTTTGCACCGCCCCCCCCACTTCAGGCAGGTGGAGTCAGAGACCAGACTATAAAGACAGGACGGAGGAGTCGTGCCGCAGGCTGCGGTCAGTCCTCCACAGTCCTGGACTTTGACTTTTTTATTTACAACCGGACTCTTATTTTGGTAGTTTTCTCCATCACTCTCTGTTCTGAAGACGTTTCCTGCTGCAGCTTCCTGTCGCTGAGAGGAGGAGCTGGTTTCTGTCGGAAACATCGTCAGAACCGAGAAACGATGGACGAGCAAAAGAGACCAAACAGAATCTGCAGAAGTTTCCTTTAACATGATGATGATGATGATGATGATGATGATGAGGATGAGGATGAGGATGAGTCTGACAGCGACACGTTTAAGTTCCTGCAGATAAAAGGATTTTTTTATATCAGAAACCAGAAACTATTTGAGCTGTTTTAGGTTTTTCTTCATTCACACCAAAATGAAATTTAACACATTCAAAGACAGATGTAACTTGTTAAATTTTATTTTGAAAAGCTCAAACAGCTGATGAGTTAATGTTTGGTGTTGAGGTCAGAGGTCGTCTGTTTGTTCACGACACTGAATGTTGTGGAAATGAAGATTTTAATAAATACTGTGTTTGTTTCCACTCGTTTGTTCTCTGATTTATTACCTGCTTTCCTGCCTGTCAGTGAACGCACCGCCACAAACATGCCATGGCTCGTGTTTTTGCGATGCTTTCAGGGACCATGAGGTGAGTGTGATCAGTGTGTTTAGAGCCGTGGAGCTGCAGTGAGTCGACGTCTCGTCAGCTGAAGACGTCCAGAGTCGATTGATGGGATCAATGCCAGGTAAAATAAAACTGATCAGAATCTGATCTGTTCTCCGTCCTTCCTCGCATCAAAGCTGAACCAAGATCAGGACCAGCACCAGTTTCTACAGCTATGACATCATCAGATACAGATTCAGCAACTGTTATGCCCTAGTCTAGGGGGGCCTAGGACACAACATAAACTGGCCCCATCTTCCTAAGTCCCAAGTAGCCACAACAAAGATTGGTTTAAATATAGGAAATATATATAAATATATATATAAATATAAGAAAGTGATTTATTTACATAAAGGTTTTAAGTGAACATATAGGAAATAAATACTGAGTTTAGGCTTCAGGGTGGACTAAGGCCAACATAATAAACATAATAACCCTGTCTGGAAAGTAAACTAATCTAACCAAAGGCAAACAAATGACAACAAACTCACCTCCCTAACTAAATAAACAGGAGAAAACAAGAGAAACACAACTGGCAGCGCACCCTTCCTACTCAACGTATCAAAGAACTACACAAAGCTGAGTCACTGCAACAGTGTGGCCAGTTGGGAGAAGAGGAGAATGAGAACACGAGCCGGCGGCCATCTTGGCTCCTTATATATCAGGTGACCAGGGGCTGCAGCCAATCACCAACCAGGGCGCAGAGCCTTTCCACCAATGACGGCGCGGCTGCGGCACACACCTATTTGCATACAATAAGAAAACACAGGAACACAGGGCACACACACACACACATACACAACAAACCAACTACAATAATATGACCGCGGGCATAACAGCAACATTCAGGGAAAGTATCTGAGGGTGGAGACGTGACCCGGACCGATGGGACCTGACGGGTGTTTGGGTTCATGTCTGGTTCAGTGGCGTCGGACAGGACGTCAGGTTCTGGTCTGGACTCTAGTGTCTGATCAGACTCGGTCCCAGCTGACAATCAATATTAAAGGCCTGTGATCAGGATCAGTGCCAGAGGGAGATTCTGAACTTGAACCTGCAGAGGCAGGAAAACAAGGGCAGGAGGTTGTCCACATACTTTTGGCCGTGTGGTGATGTCAGTGTTTTAAACGTGTTAAATGATTTACAGGAAACATGTTTTATTCACCTGCTGCAACTAATGATTATTGTCATTGATTGGTTGAAATGCAGATTATTGTCTTCCTTGACTGATTGTTCTATTAATCATCTGAAAATTTCCCTCCCCAACATCCTGGATCAGAGGCCTCTGGACTGGGGCGATGGCGGTGGAAGATTTGCGTGTGGAGGTTTCATTGTCGTTCGTCTGAGACGTCGTGTTTGTGCAGCAGCTGAAACGCAGTTTGATCAACAGGAAGAAGAAGAGGAAGTTTGCTTTCTTCTCTCTGTGCTGATTAATGGCCAGAAAGGCCACTTCCTGTTACTGAGGACAGACACGTCCTGATCCACACTCACTGTATAACCTTTATTTAAACTGCTGACCTGAGACCAGGACCTGTCTCACCTGACCTGAGATCAGTAGACAGACATAAACAATCAGACAAACACAGATTCAGGCTTTTAAATCTTCATTCATTAACTTGTTCAGTTGTGCTAACTGAGCAGTTGTTTGGTTCCACTTATGTCCGGAACCAGACCTGAAACAGAGTTCAACCAGACCTGAACCAGACCTGAAACAGAGTTGAACCAGACCTCAACCAGACCTCAACCAGAGTTCAACCAGACCTGAAACAGAGGTCAACCAAACCTGAACCAGACCTGAACCAGACCTGAAACAGAGTCAACCAGACCTCAACCAGAGTTCAACCAGACCTCAACCAGAGTTTAACCAGACCTGAAACAGAGTTCAACCAAACCTGAACCAGAGTTCAACCAGACCTGAACCAGAGTTCAACCAGACCTCAACCAGATCTCAACCAGAGTTCAACCAGACCTGAAACAGAGTTCAACCAAACCTGAACCAGACCTGAACCAGAGTTCAACCAGACCTGAACCAGACCTGAACCAGAGTTCAACCAGACCTGAACCAGAGTTCAACCAGACCTCAACCAGATCTCAACCAGAGTTCAACCAGACCTGAAACAGAGTTCAACCAAACCTGAAACAGACCTGAACCAGACCTGAACCAGAGCTGAAACAGAGCTGAAACAGAACTCAACCAGACCCATACCAGACCTGAACCAGACCTGAAACAGACCTATACCAGTCCCAAAACAGCTGAGCCAGACATGAACTAGAACCATACCAGACCTGAACCAGAGTCTGTCTCATAATTGATTTCACAGAGAATCATTATGGTGTTTTCTAAACCGATTATTAAACGTCTATTTAATGCTCATGGACTTAAACTAAGAGTGTTGCCATTTAATTAGAAATAAACACATTAAAGTTACTTTACTCTTCATGAGCCTGATGTTCATTTGTTTTCTCTGCTCACATTTTTATTTGCATTTTCACACTGCTGTTACCGTCAGCTGCAACCGCTGCTTCTGCATGTGGGAATTTATTTTAGTCTGTGCGGTCCCAGCATGCACCTCTCCTGTCAGACTGCATGTCTGTGAGTCACCAGGAAGAGGTCCAGCCTCTGAAACCCTCCAGAGAGCTGGTTCTGCCGTCTCTGGGGGTTTGTATGTGAGCTGTCGTCACGCTCGCCATCAGAAGCGCCCGCTGTGACTGACAGAGGAGGAAGGAGACAAGGGGTTTTCCCATGATGCTCTCCAGAGAGACGAGTTACAATAACTGAGGCAGCAGCTGGTACAGAACAGGACAGGTTAGGAAAATTAATAACGCTCCACTCAGAGTGAAGATCGAGGGGGGGGGGGGGGGAATGTGTTATGGTTCTGGTTCTGGACGCCAGGATCCACTTAGACACCAGAGAAAAGAGAAGCTGCAGAAACTGACTGAGAATCATCAAGTCAGTCTGTCAGTGAAGTATAGAGGAGCTGGACAGAGCCAGGCTAGCTGTTTCCATCTGTTTCCAGTCTTTATGCTAAGCTAAACTAAGCTAAACAGCTGCTGTAGCTTCATATGTGATCTACAGACACTGGAGTGGGATCTAGATTCACTCTGAGATTCAAGTCTTTTTTTCACATGTGGCTCTGACCCTGCTCCCTGAGTCCCAGTTCAGGTTCACATCCTTCTGAACCGAAAAGAGGCGGTCTGGTCCACTAGCTGTTCCCGCCCTTACCGTCTGGTTGTAAAGCGCAGCTCCATGACAACACGTAACTTTTTGTTTTTAGTCTCTTGGTTTTAACAGTTGAACCGTTAGCTGTTGAGCTGAAACACAACACACTGTGATCCTCAGACTCTGTCGGTGTAGTTTGCTTTCATTAACAGAGCGCAATGAATCTTGGGATATGTTGGACCAGGAAGGATCCACTTGTTGGAGCTTCATGGTTCAGCAGGAGGAGGCGCTTCAGTCTTTGAAATGAGACAGTGGAGTCACGCTGCTGTGTTGTCAGATCAGCTGGACAGTGTGTGATAAGAGCATAAAAATAAAACAGAAATCCCCTTTATCTGTGAAAATGTGAAAAACTTTTGACAGCCTAAAATTTGTTCTGTCTCAGAGCTCAAACCTGAAATCTACATCTGAAAATAAACTTGATTTATAGAAACTGCAGAAAGTTTTCTTTCTTTATTCATAAAATACACAAAACCTTCCACATATACCTCGTCTGCTGCTTCAGCAGGTGAGAACTGGTTTGTGACCTGTGACCTGTGACCTGTTTGAGGAGTGATGAGTGAAAGTGATGTCAGAGCGAGGCTGCAGCAGGTGACGGAGGAGCTGCTGTCGATGTGTTGAAGTCTCATCACTGAGACGTCTTCAAGGTGAGAAGCAGAAAGTGTCAGAATATGGAAGTAAAACTCAGAACTACTTGTGTGTTCAGTTGTTTTTCCGCCTTCAGTCGAACTTGAGGAAAAGTTGCAGTTTGACACTAGAACGGTGTGAATCTGCTGATGGAGCCTCAGTGAACTGACCTGGGGTCAGGCGTGGATGCTGGAGCCTCAGACGCTGCAGTGATCAGCCTGAGCTCTCGCACTGATCCAGAGTCAGCTGATCCTCTTCCTTTGGCTGTGACAGTGTGTCAGTGCTGAGCTGCAGCGAGTGGGTGCAGCAGCAGCAGCAGCAGCAGCAGCAGCAGCAGCATCTGTTCCGCTCTGTGGTCAGACAGGGGGTGGGGTGCTGCCTTCACCCCCCCCCTCCCTGTCACTTCCTCTCAGAAAGAGGGAGGGAGGAAGAGAGAGGGGGGAGGAAAGAGAGGCAAAGAGATAGAGAGACATAGACACAGAAAGAGTGGAGGAGAGAGAGGAAGACAGAAGGAAGCCATTTTGGTTCCACGGTGACATGTCCGCCGCTCTCTGCTTCTTCTTCTCTGCACACTCTTGAGTCAGACGGTCGACAGGAGGAAGTCAAACGCTCTGAAGACAGTCAGCCGTTACTTTATCTGCTGAGACGTTTGGTTTTACATTTGACAGGAAGGAGTGTTGAGGACCGAGGCCCGTCTGTCAGTCGCACCGCGGACGAGTGGCGGGACCAGGAAGACCTGATCCAAGACCCACGAGGCCGTGAGGTGGTCGTCTGATGGTCTCCTCCTCGCCGTAGAGCAGGAAGTGTCCCGGTGTGACGTCAGCTGGACGGACCAGTCTGTGAGGACAGGGGACGGGAGGAGGACGCAGGATGAGCTCGGACCGGGTGCCGTCCAGGTCGGAGGTGATGGGGTGGAGCCCACAACAGCTGGCAGACTACCTGAAGAGGGTGAGACACACAACTACACAACTACTCTGCTACACAACTACTCTGCTACACAACTACACAACTATTCTGCTACACAAGTACACAATTAATCTGCTACACAGCTACGCAACTACACAACTACTCTGCTACACAACTACTCTGCTACACAACTACACAACTATTCTGCTACACAAGTACACAATTAATCTGCTACACAGCTACGCAACTACACAACTACTCTGCTACACAACTACTCTGCTACACAACTACACAACTATTCTGCTACACAAGTACACAATTAATCTGCTACACAGCTACGCAACTACACAACTACTCTGCTACACAACTACTCTGCTACACAACTACACAACTATTCTGCTACACAAGTACACAATTAATCTGCTACACAGCTACGCAACTACACAACTACTCTGCTACACAACTACTCTGCTACACAACTACACAACTATTCTGCTACACAAGTACACAATTAATCTGCTACACAGCTACGCAACTACACAACTACTCTGCTACACAACTACTCTGCTACACAACTACACAACTATTCTGCTACACAAGTACACAATTAATCTGCTACACAGCTACGCAACTACACAACTACTCTGCTACACAACTACTCTGCTACACAACTACACAACTATTCTGCTACACAAGTACACAATTAATCTGCTACACAGCTACGCAACTACACAACTACTCTGCTACACAACTACTCTGCTACACAACTACACAACTATTCTGCTACACAAGTACACAATTAATCTGCTACACAGCTACGCAACTACACAACTACTCTGCTACACAACTACTCTGCTACACAACTACACAACTATTCTGCTACACAAGTACACAATTAATCTGCTACACAGCTACGCAACTACACAACTACTCTGCTACACAACTACTCTGCTACACAACTACACAACTATTCTGCTACACAAGTACACAATTAATCTGCTACACAGCTACGCAACTACACAACTACTCTGCTACACAACTACTCTGCTACACAACTACACAACTATTCTGCTACACAAGTACACAATTAATCTGCTACACAGCTACGCAACTACACAACTACTCTGCTACACAACTACTCTGCTACACAACTACACAACTATTCTGCTACACAAGTACACAATTAATCTGCTACACAGCTACGCAACTACACAACTACTCTGCTACACAACTACTCTGCTACACAACTACACAACTATTCTGCTACACAAGTACACAATTAATCTGCTACACAGCTACGCAACTACACAACTACTCTGCTACACAACTACACAACTACTCTGCTACACAACTACACAACTACTCTGCTACACAACTACACAACTAATCTGCTACACAACTACACAACTACTCTGCTACACAACTACTCTGCTACACAACTACACAACTACACAACTACTCTGCTACACAACTACTCTGCTACACAACTACACAACTACTCTGCTACACAACTACACAACTACTCTGCTACACAGCTACACAACTACACTGCTACACAACTACACAACTACTCTGCTACACTGCTACACAACTTTAACACAACTACACCTTGTAAATTGAGCTGATGAACTTGTCATCAAACAGTTGCTTATTTTCAGGGGAGGGGCCAGAGGTGCCTCCAGCCCCTCCTGGAGTCTGATTGGCTGCCCTGCCTGTAACAAACAATCAATCGATTATTGAAGGAAATACTTGTCAGATATATTGATAATGACAATAGCTGTTGGTAGCAGCCTGACCAGGACCTGTCACTGTTCACAGTTTAAACATTTGCAATTAATCACATTTTTATGTGGAGAAAACACAGGGAATAAAAAGAAGAGGAGCGAAAGAAAAGGAAAGGAAGAGGTAGGGAAGGAAATTAGGAATTAGGGAAGGAAAGGAGGAGATGAGCTAGGAGAGGAGAGACAGAATCTCTGTGTTGACTCAACATTGTCCCTCTGTCTGTCCACAGATGAGTCTGTCCGGCTGCGACAAGGTTGTGATGAAGAACAACATCAGCGGTTCGAGATTTGTGGTGAGTCCTCAAACACAGCCTGATGGACACCCAAACTGACAGACACACAACCTGACTGACACACAACCTGACTGACACACAACCTGACAGACACACAAACTGACTGACACACAACCTGACAGACACACAACCTGACTGACACACAACCTGACAGACACACAACCTGACAGACACACAACCTGACAGACACACTAATTGACTGACACACAACCTGACAGACACACAACCTGACAGACACACAAACTGACAGACACACTAATTGACTGACACACAAACTGACTGACACACTAATTGACAGACACACAGCCTGACTGACACCCAAACTGACTGACACACAACCTGACAGACACACAACCTGACAGACACACAACCTGACAGACACACAACCTGACTGACACACAACCTGACAGACACACAACCTGACAGACACACAACCTGACAGACACACTAATTGACTGACACACAACCTGACAGACACACAACCTGACAGACACACAAACTGACAGACACACTAATTGACTGACACACAAACTGACTGACACACTAATTGACAGACACACAGCCTGACTGACACCCAAACTGACTGACACACAACCTGACAGACACACAACCTGACAGACACACAACCTGACTGACACACAACCTGACAGACACACAAACTGACAGACACACAAACAGACAGACACACAACCTGACAGACACACAACCTGACTGACACACTAATTGACAGACACACAGCCTGACGGACACACAAGCTGACTGACACACAACCTGACAGACACACAACCTGACAGACACACAACCTGACTGACACACAACCTGACAGACACACAAACTGACAGACACACAAACAGACAGACACACAACCTGACAGACACACAACCTGACAGACACACAAACAGACAGACACTCTGTAAGGAAGGAAGAGGCAGGGAAGGAAAGGAGGACGTTAGGAGAGGTCAGGAAAAAGAGAACGATGTTGGAAGGAAAGGAGACGAGAAGATGGTAGAGAAGGACAGAGGAAAGAAGGGAAGTAAAGGAGGACATAAGGAGGCAGAATAGACAGGGAGGGGCCAGGCTGGCAGGGTTGGTGTTGATTGGTCTAAACACATGGCTCCGCCTCTCTCTACAGAACCTGAGTGATAATGACCTGCAGAAGTTCCCCAAGCTCCACGCTCCGTGAGTACTGACTTCAATCCCACTGTGACTCCTCCCACAGGCGGGGCTTGATTAATGCTTACAACCTGAACATTAGCAGGAGATATTGATTATTGATTGATATTGATTGTTGTGACAGTGAAATAACAGATGGATTTCTCACACGTTAGACTCCATCAGGCTCCTATTGGCTGTTGGCCTGTGGTCGAACCTCAGTGGTTTGGACCAATCAGTGTTCTGTGGGGGAGGAGCTACTTGATGCGACTGGTTTGGTTTTCTACCGATATGCTAACTAGCTTAGCTCCTCAAACTGCACCTTGTTGTTGTGTTGTTTCTCCTATGATGTCACATGATTGACAGACGATTTGTCACCGACTACTGCAACAGATGAATTTAAAGTCTGACTGTTTGTTCTATAGAAGACACAGTCAGAGTCTGTCAGTGTGAAACCAGTTCCTGATCTTAACGTGTCATTGATCTGATGACTCTGCTTTAACGAGCTGCGATCAGCTGATTGTTTCTCTGGAGAGGAGTCTCACTCTGTTGAACTACAAAAACACAGAGTGATGTGCCGTCACTCACAAACAATCTTTGACTCAGAGAGCTCATTAACCCACCGACAGTCACAGAGCAGCAGCCAGCTGGATTAACCCTGGTGTGTGTGTGTGTGTGTGTGTGTGTGTGTGTGTGTGTGTGTGTCCTCAGGATGATCTCTAAGATCAGCACTGAAATCAGCAAGAAGGAGGAGAGGCGGGGCCTGTTTGGTAAAAAGTAGGTTCAGACCAAAGCTTCACATCACAGCAGGACATGATGCGTTCAAAGCCAGCAGCTGATGCGTTCATGGACCTCTCTCTCTGTTTGTGTTTGTTTCCACAGAACGACGCCCAAATATCACGAACCAGGTAGGAAAGAAAAGCCCAGGAGATGAAAGTGTTAAAGCTTCGACTGAGTCAGACTCGTCAGTTAAAACACAGACGGGGTCTTTGTCAGGTCGAAGTTCACTCGGTCGTTCTTTAGGATGATTTCAGTGTTCCAGTCTGGAAACACTCACAGGGATGAGTCTCAGTTCTTCTGTTTCCTGGTTCAGATATCTCTCACATGAATCAACACAAACCTCCTCCTGCTGCTTCACACGCTACTGCCTCATATTTTATATATTCTACACTATAATTAAAAGTCTGCACCAACACAAACACTGAGCATCACGACTCAATCATATGTGTCGATGGTTTATTACTTCTTCACTTAGTTTCTGTTTATTTCTGATTATTTATTTATCTGAGCTCCCTCTGATGATTAATAATGACTTTGTATCTAAATTACAGTGATGGTGTATTGATATGTGTATTGATATGTGTATGTGTCTTCCTCTCTGCAGACACCAGTGCTGCTGATGTTCATTGCTGGGGTGAAGACGAGTTTGTGAGTCTGACGTTCATCTGTCTCCTTCACCTTCTTAGTGTTGAAGCTGGTAAACAGTTACAATAGAAACCAAGCACCATCATACTGCAGCTGATCATTAGTGAAGAGCTGCTGGTTCCTGACGTGTTCGTCCGCCTTCTGTTCCTTTAATGTTCCTGAAACTCTCCTGGATGATCCCGAGTCTGAAGGTTCATGTTCTGACTCCAGTTTGAATCTCCAACTTCGTCTCTGAGGAATCCTGCGTCTGTTCGGATGACTCTAGACACTACAATACCCATGAGCCTCAGGAGCTGTTGTCAGAGAGACGAAGCCAGTCAGAGGCGTGAACCAGCGCGGTTGTGAATTCAGAATCAGAGCGGTGGTGGGGGCCCCTTTTCCCCTCGGGGGCCCCAAGCATTTGCCTGGTTTGCCCCTCCACCTCTTCAGTTCTGTTCAGTTCACTAGAACGCACCATCAGCTCCTGCTGACAGTAATTTAAACTTTGCGATTGGACGCTTCTTGCTGAAATGCACCTTGGGAGTTAAAGGTTGTTCATTTGATTTCTGAGATTAAAGGGTCCCTGATAAAAACCAGCTTCTGTTTTCAGCTTCTGTCGACTCGAACTGACAAGAACCAAGAATAAATAAAGACTAGAGACAGATGACCTGAATGGAATCAGCAGTGTTGTGGGTGGATGATGTGACGTGACTCTGATCCCTCTTCTCTCCGTCGCTCCATCAGGACGATGAAGACTTCGATGATGACTATGAGAGTCCGAACAGCGGAGACGAGGACGGCAGCGGAGGAGACTACGAGTCCCCGAATGACGACCTGGACGGGGCCAACGATTACGAGCCCCCTCCCTCTGAACCTCCGGACGACCTGGCCCACAAGCTGTGCCCCACCCTGCCCATCGGAGACGGGGATTACATAGGTAACCAGGAAGAGACACGGCACGATTCCACTGATTCTTACTGTAACTGTAGAAAAACATAAAGTTTCTAAAGGTTCGTTTGCTCTAATTATTAATCAACCCTTGTGTGTCCTTTTAAAAAACACACACTTAAGTACTAACTGATATTATATAGATATTAATACTATTTTCTACTGAATTAGTGTTCAGTTCAATATCAGTCCTGATCATAACAACCAAATATTTGCATAAAAAAAGGGTTTAATAACGGCTCAGTTGTTACCTGCTCAACTCAACACATATTTAAATCCAGTTGAAATTAACTCAATGAACTCTGCATGAATATAATGTTCTTAATTACACACGATTTCATCCAGTGACAACAGCTTTACACGATTTCACACACGTCTCTGACTCTGACCAGAGGACAGAAACCTCAGGTTTAAATAGAGCGTCTCATCATTAATGTGTGTGTGTGTGTGTGTGTGTGTGTAGATAACAGGGATAACCATATGTCGCCAAGAGGCCCCCCCCCTGCTTTGTGCCCCCGCCCCCCAGTCTCCACCCTGTCGGCTCCGACTGCCCGGATGGTGAGTCTGTCCCACACTCATTCTAACACTCAGTGATTTTACATGTGAAGTCAGTTTCCTCTTGGTGTTAGCTGAAGCTGGTGTGTGTTTGTAGCCAGGTGACCCCGTCAGAAGAGACCCCTCCCCCCACTGTGGCGGACGACCATCAGGAAAGTGTGAGTTCACATGTTACAGCCTCCACAGGGGGGCGCTGCAGAGCTGAAGGAGGGCAGAGACACTGTGTGAGGTCATCATGATACACGGATCACAGCTGCTGTTCATTAGATTGTTTTCATTATTGATTATTCTGCTGATTACTTAATTGATACTACCCCAATTATAATAATAATTTATTTATAGAGCACTTTTCTTAACAAAATGTTTTACAAGAAAAGTAAAACTAGATAAAAGAAAAATCCAAAGTGAGCTTCATGAAAGTGTCTGACAGCAAAATAAAAACATCTCAAATCAGCCTAATGCAAAAACATCTGATAGCAATTAAATATGTAAAAACAATAACAAGGGATTAAACATTAGGAATAAAACATGAATCAGACATCACCAAAGGCTCAGATGAAGAAATGTGTTTTAAGAAGAGATTTAAGAAGTAAAAGCATCTAAACACCATCAGGGTTTTTCCTGTATAGAGAATTAAAAGGCGGCCGCCTCTGTCAAATTTCGTGCCGCCTTGTTTCCTCGGTACAAGGTGGATTTGACGTTTGTAACTGCAATTGCGGCTGTATGCCACTACGGCAATGTAGTGGCGCTGTATCGTAATCCATGCATCAGGCAGAGCCATCCAAAATTACCAAAGAAGAAGAATATGAACATGTTGGATTTTCTGCCTGCAGAAGGAGGCAGCGACCTGATTTTGCTGCTATTCAAAAAAGTGAATATTATCTCTGTTACACCCAGATGCTTGTAAAAGTAAAAGTTTCCCTAAAGTAATGTCACAACACAAGGAGGAGAATCACGAGGACAGGTGACACAGTGCAGACGTCATTAGTTCTTCTAATGTGGGAAAAAAGGTTAATTCATGTTACTGACGAGATCCGGTTGATGTGTCTGGACTGACAGTTGGTCTCAAGTGGAAGGTGCCGGTGGAAGAGAGGATCAGAGAGAGGAGTCAAGGCGAGAGCACCAAGTCTTTAGGAGTGTGTTAACGAGTCTATCAAAGCCGACGTTTACATGATTTTAACATCAGTTTTTATTCATCTTCACAGATGTTCTGAAAAGCATAGAGTGCGTGACCCGCAGTGGCTGGAGAGATAATGAAAATATAAATATTGCGGCAACCCCCCTTTAAACACCCTTTAAACTGCCAAACCAAAAACATGTTTGACGCTGGAAGCAGCAAATATTTGACATTTTGTATTAAAAATGACTGGAACCATTAAAAGTAATTGCTGATTAACTTTCTTTCAATCGATTAATTGATTAGTTGTCACAGCTCTAGTTTTAATTTGACTAAATATAAACATATATAGACGAACATACTGAAATCAGAAATCCAGTCTGAATACATCTTCAGTTATATTTTTCCTTCTCTAATTTCTTTATGTGAGAAATGAATTGTACAGATTTCAAATATATAGATTTTAGATTATCTGTTGTGGCTTGACTTTAGTTTTCAGACCATGTTTGGGTCATGTGACTCTGACAGATGTCCTCATTGGCCTCTGGTTGTCCCTCATGTTAAAGCTGTTGATTTGTTGTGTTCAGTTCCTCCAGGACCGCCGCAGATCTTTCGTGGCAACAAACCGGGCAGAGAATCAGGATCCAACTCGTCCCCCATCAGAGGTAATCCTGAACCCTGAACCCTGAACCCACTATCTTTATCTCTCTCTCTATCACCATCTCTATCTCTATCTCTATCTCTACCTCTATCACCATCTCTATCTCTATCTCTATCTCATCACTATCACATCTCTATCACCATCAATATCTCTATCTCTATCTCTATCACCATCACCATCACCATCACCATCACCATCACCATCACACATCTCTTCACTTCATTTCCATTAAAAATAAATAAATATTTTATTGTTTCATCAAAACTAAAAAAATCCTTTTTTAACTTACACTTCTGGTGCGTTCAGGGACCATTTGAAATCTCAGTTTCAGACTCCTGTTGAATGCATATATATACAGGATTAGCGCCCCCATGTGGTTCATTGCCTGCATCTGCAGGAAAACAAAAAACAAACCAAAAAAATGAAAAAAAAAATGCTGTTTTCAATTCAATTTCTTCTCTTACTTTTGTATTTATTTTATTTATTTTCTTACTATTTTTTCATAATAAATTTCCTGGCATCAGCTTCTCAGACAAACACACATCAATAATGTAACAAACATATAAATAAATGAATTTAAATGTGATGATTTAACAACTGAAAACTGATTTTGTTTTCTTCACAGGACCTCACCGCAATACAGTGGACAGGGTGAGTTTTTCTTTAGATAAACTTTATTTAACAGTAGTTGACAGAGTAACTAACTTCACACTGAACTCATCAGATCATGCAGAGCTGTAAATACATGATTTGAACTTGATAAATGACATTTAAAGTGATTATAAATGAACTGATTATATGAGTAACATAGAAAACTGAAAACAAAAAGGGACCAAGAGCAGAACCCTGAGGAACTCCACTGTCTTAAAACCATGGACACTGAAAACTTGTTTTTGTTAATACTCTGTGACGACCAGGAACCCCCCACCTGGTCCAAACCTCCCGTTCCTCCTCCGTCCAGCTCCGTCAGCAGAAGCAACTCCTCAGCCAGGCCTGGTCCCAACAGGTGAGCACTCACCTGTCCTCCATCAAACCATCTCTGATTCACCTAATCAGTTCCTCAAATATATACCTTTCATCCAATCAGGTCTTTATCTTTGAGGCTTTGAATTCATATTCATCACATGTGTTTTTAGTGAGTTCAGTTGTAAGATAATCAAACAGTTATTTACAGTTATAATTAATAATGTTATTAAATGATAATGTGGTTTGGTTTAACAGGTTTGATGCAAGGAGAGAGGTATGTTGCATTTTTTTTAGTAAATAATATTTTATTGAGTGTTTTTCATTTAGATAAAGTAAAAATATTAATGAACAACTAAACAAAAAAATAGTAAATAAATACAAAAAAACTGAAGAAAAGATTAATATACTCAAATGAAAATGTGTTACATCAGTTCTGTTGGTTAACACCTTCTCTGTGTCCTTTTCTTCTCTTCTCTCTCATCAGCAACCACATGATGAAGGTCAGATTTCTTTATCGCTTGTTTTCTGTTTTATTTTATTTTAATTATTTATTTTAATTTAAAATTATTTTATTTTAATTTAGTTTATTCTATTTTATTTTATTCTATTTTGATTTATTTATCTCTTTTCCATGAAATGAAATATCCCAACACACCAGAGAATCTCCTCAGCTTTATTTATTTATCTGGATACTTCAGGAGATTCAAGTATCCCAGAATGCATTTAGCACTGGAACTGGTTTTATATGCAGTATTTGTACTGACAAAGTCCTGGAGCGATTCTTTAAATTCTGCTTCTCTCTTCCAGCTCCTAAACACAACACCTTCCCCCTCCAGAGTAAAGGTCTGCCCCCCCGCCCTGGCCTCCCTGGGCCCCCCTCTCGCCTCGGAGACAGGTATGAAAAACTAAAAGTAAAATAATGATTCTCATTTCCTCAGTAGTGGGATACGTCAGTTCAGTTGCAGCCTTCCTGTTGCCACAAATACTCACTACAGCACCAAATGTGTATTAATCCGCCAATGAAAATAGTCCCCAACAAATACACTATTTCCTTGTGTTTGTTTGATGAAATCTAAAGTGATCCTCTGTATTTGAAACTGTATATTTAATACTGGTCCCATCTAAAACCATGAAGGCCTCCAGTGTCAGATCTGTCTGGGTTGTTGAGTCTTCGTTGAGAGTTGTATCATGTGTTTGTACCTGATAAACCTCCACGTGAGTCTCATTTAACAATGAAACTGTAGATTTGTGAGGTGTTTTTAAAGATTTACATCTTCAGTAGGAACCAGTGGAGCTTAGACCCATGACAGAGGAGGGAAGGTTTAGAGGGTCGGACTAACAAACTGTTGGTTTTGGTCGTTTCCAGAGATTTAGAACATGATATATATATTTTATAATAATATATAATATATTGTATAAAGAAGCAGCGCTTATGAGAACATCACTGACAGCACCATCAGCACAGTGTGTAAATGAATAATCTGTCTTGTTTGTTTCTGAACAGTCTGCCCCCCAGTGTCCCCAAACTGCACTCAGGTAAGAACACAAATAGTGAAGCAACAGTTCGGCATTCTGGGAAAAATGCTCTCCTTGTCTTTCTGTCTGAGAGCTTTGACGTTCAGATTGATGCTAACACGTTTGTTAGCTTAGCATAAAGACTGGAAACAGGGGGAAACAGCTAGCTTAGCTCTGTCCGAAGGAAACAAAGTCGACCCACCATCTTTAAAACTCACTGATGAACACACAGCTGTAGGGTTTCACTACATGTTGAATTATTACTTTAATGACAATGAATTTTACTTGAACAAGATTTTTTATTTGTTATTAACTGTTCATGTTTCCAGTTACAGACATTTCAAACTTCATTTAACTGTGTAAAGATTTACTCCACTGTCCTCTGAAGTGATGGAAAAATGATCCTGTGTGTGTGTTCTGAAGTGATGGAAAAATGATCCTGTGTGTGTGTGTGTGTGTGTCTGTGTGTGTGTGTGTGTGTGTGTGTGTCTGTGTGTGTGTGTGTACAGCAATGGTTGAACACAGAGGCAGCTTCGGTGGATCAGACAGACCGTCATTTCGTCCTCCGACCGCAGCGTCACACACACAGGTGATATAACACACACATGTTGTCTTTATGTACATGTGAGGACCATCCTTTGTTTTCATTCGTTTCATATTTTTCTTTCTGTCCATATGAAACACATTTTAATCTCTGGTTATAAACTTATGAGTAAACTTAAACAATGATATTAATGATGATGATAAAAACAACAACGATTTATACAGGACAGGAAGTAAACAATAATATATAATATTAATGATATTAAATAAGACATGATGGAAATAAAAGAAGCTCTAACAATTGATTAAAAGATGTCACTGATTCTGAAGTTATAATTATTATAATTATTATTATTATTGTTGTTGTTATGTAAGTTTTGAAGTGGAAAAGTAGTTTTTGTATTTCTGTGATCTAAACAGCAGGTGGTGCTGTTGTCTTTGTGTTTGTGTCCTAACACAGATATTGTAGTCAGGTTCAACAGTACAAGTGTGTGTGTGTGTGTGTGTGTGTGTGTGTGTGTGTGTGTGTGTGTGTTACAGGAGCTGGACCCTCGCTGGTATGTGGGTAAAGTGACCAGAGGTCAAGCAGAAGGATGTCTGAAACGAGTGCGCAAGGTAAAAGGAAAAGAACTGTATAACTGATGTATTTCTCTACATGTAAACTTCAATTTACTTTAATGCCATTAAACATTTCATTTTTGTTTACTGGTAATTATGAGCCATTTTTAAGATACTGTACAGAGGTCAAAGTCAAATTTAAAACTTTAGAGTGCAGATGTATTGTAAATAGAAGCACTCACGCAGAATGATCTCTTTGTAAATGTTATATCATTAAACTGTATTTATTATATAACTGGATATATTATTATATAACTTAGAGTCGTCACAGTGAGGCGGTGGTTCTTCACCTCTGAAGGAACTGAAGGATGAAGTGCTGTACAATTTAAAACACTCAAGTACAAATCCCTTCAGATGATATCCCACCTCTGTCTCACCTCTGTCTCTGTCTCTGCCTCTGTTAAGGACGGGGCGTACCTGGTGAGGGACAGCACCCGGCAGCTGGCCAATCAGCCCTTCACCTTGATGGTCTTCTACCAGGACAAAGTCTACAACATCCAGATCAGACAGCAGCACCAGCAGTTCCTGCTGGGAACTGGACTCAAAGTCCAGGAGGTAAAGTGACAGGTGGAGAAGAGCTGAGACCTGAACCTGGTCCTCAAGGTTTACAGGTGTAACATCTACAGCTGGAGTTTTCTTCTTTAGCAGCATCTAGTGGACATTAGAGGAACTGCAGCTGAACAAAACAGCTCCGACTCTAACACTCGATTGGTGATTGATCAGGAATAAAACTATAATCAATTCTAGTAACTTGTGTGTGTGTGTGTGTGTGTGTGTGTGTGTGTGTGTGTGTGTGTGTGTGTGTGTGTGTGTGTTCAGTCTTTTCCCTCAGTTAGTGAAATCATCGGACATTACTCCCACTCTCCTCTGCTCCTCATCGACGCCAAAAACCGAGGCTCGGGCCAGCAGAACCAGTGTCTCCTCTCTGACCCAGCCGGGTTCTTCATGACTGGACAGAACTGGTCCTGACTGGATCAGACCGGATCAGACCAACCACCTACCTAAGCGTGGGGGAACCCAGCAGGCAGAGTCAGATGAATGTCCAGCTCAGACATGATTAGCAGCTGAGCTCACCCTCCCCTCAGAGGTAGGAAGGAGGTTTTTATTGTGAATTGGGTGAAAAGGTTTTTGCACCTTTTGAACTTTCTTCATTCGCTTGCTTTTAAAACAACAGTCTCTGCTCTTCAGACAATAAACCCTCCAGAGGGTTGAAACCTTCTCCATTTAGAAATGTGTCTGAGCCTTGACATTACAATCTCTGTGCGATGCTGCGTTCAGGTCGTGTTGGATAAACAAGTATATTCCACATTCAAACTAAAGCATGTTCATGGCTAAACTGTCCTTCTGTCTGTAGCTGAGCTCAGTGAAACTCACTTCTCATGATTGTACTTTCCAGTATTTTGTTAGTTAAATGATGAAGCCTCACAGGCGTCAGGTTACTGTCTGCACTGACTGTGAACGTGTCGCCTGGTTTGTCCTCATTAAAACTCAGGAAGTCTCCTTCAATCAGAGACGTGTCACTTCATTTCCTATGTCTCTATATTATCTATACTATCAATAAACGTCTCATTCATTCACTCGAACATGACTTACACGTGTATATAACTCACCTGTTTACGTTTTATTAAGGACCAAAGTTATGGAGGATTGAGGGCGTGGCCTCTTTGAGTGACAGGTGGGTGAGCGTATGCTTGACACAATCGTCTCAGCTCCACACACCCCTCCTCTTTGACCATAGTTGGATTAGCCGGGAGTTAAGGGGCGGAGTCTGATACTGCCAAGATGGCGATGGTGGAGCAGCTCACTCTGAGCTTTAGAAACCTGTGGGTGGCCATCTTGATTTACGGTCTGTGCTCCAGACTGAGACTCGTGCTGCGTTTGAGGACATCTGGATAGAGTTCATATGTGTGTGGTAGTTTATATGCGACATAAATAGCACCAGCTGTCGCTGTGCAGTGTGTGAGGTTCAGGGGGTGTTGACAAGTGACGGCTTGCCACATCACTGAAGCAGTAGTCCTGATGTTTTTATTTTAAAGTCCTTGGTCTGAGAAACACTGTAGATTCATCTTTTATTAAAACAGCAACAGGTTCATTGAAGGGCGGAGTCTGAGGGTCTTTATGTCTTAATGTTATCCTCAACTGGACTCGTGACAGTTACAGGTAATCTGTTTTTTTTTTTCCCATGAG